GTGGACTGTATAGTTCTGCTCCAAACGCCTCTGTAGTCCAAAGACCTTCGAAACTCCACGGCGAGGGTATTCCTCCATGAGAAATGACCAAAAACGGGCACGCCTGCTAAAATTGTTTCCCCTCTCTATTTTCATGCGGGACAGGATGCAGCAACTGATGAGCGTGGGCGCAAAAGGCCTTTTACAGAAGCAGCTGAGCAAGATGTGGGGTGCTGCGTTTACAGTCATGTTTGCCTGCCTAGTAAGGTGCTTTAAGAACAGTCACCCGATGCCCATGCAGCGACCGTTCTACACAAAACACCTTGTTATTGGATCAACTGTCTTAGAAGAAGACATGACTAACCCCATGGTTTGTCACACATCAATTTATTGTTTCTTATTGTGGTAAGAAATCACATAACATAAACTCACCCTCCTAACAGTTTTTGAGTGTATGATATCGTTAACTATATACACACTGACGTGGAAGAAACTGCTAGAACTTTTTCATCTTGCATGACTATAAAACTATACCCATTGAACAACAGCACCCCATTTCCTCCTGCCCCAGCTCTTGGCAACAATTCTACTTTGTTTCCATGAATTTGATTACTTTAGATACCTCATGTAAGTGAACCATGCCATATTTGCCATATTGTGACTGGCTTCTTTAACTTAGCAAAGTGTCTTCAAGATTTATCCGTGTGGCAGCACGTGGCAGGGTTTCTTTATTTTTTAAGGCTGAATAATAGTCCATGGTATTTATATAGCACATTTTCTTTATCCATTCATTTGTCGATGGATATTTAGGGTGCTTCCACCTCTTGGGGGGAATCTCTCTCTTCCTCTTCTTATAAAAGCACTAATCCCGTCATGAGGGCTGCACGCTCATGAACTCATCTAACCCTAATTACTTCCCCAAAGCTCCACCTCCAAATATTATCACACCAGGAATTAGGGTTTCAACATACGAATTTGGGAGGAAACAAGTGCAGTCCTAGCAGCCAGTTTTTGACTTGGTTGTGTTTTTGTTGTTGAGTTGTAGGAGCTCTCTATGTATTCTAGGTATTAAGGCCTTATCAGATACAGGATTGCAAATATTTTCTCTCATTGTGTAGGTCGCCTTTTCACTCCATTGATTGTCTCCTTTGGTGCTCAGAAGTTTTTAAGTTTTATGCAGTCCTCTGTCTATTTTTCCTTTTGTCACTTATGCTTTCGGTGTCATTTCCAAGAAATCACGGCCAAATGCGATTTCTTGAAGCTTTCCCCCATGTCTTCTTCTTGGGAGTTTTATACTTTTGGGTGTTACATTAAGGTCTTTAATCTATTTTGATGTAATTTTTGTGTGTAGTGTAAGAGAAGAGTCAAGCTCCATTCTTTGGCATGTGGCGATCCAGTTTTCCCAATTCCATCGCTGGAAGACACTGACCTTTCCTCCACTGTGTGGTTTCGTTCAGCGTTTTTTTTTTTTTTTAATGAAAGTTAAGCCAATTCATTTTTTTAAAATAAATGTAGTAGATACCTTGTGAACACAAGATGAAGGAGAGATGAGGTTTGGTTTGCTTTGGTTTCATTTGTCACTCTCTGGTTCAGAATTCTCTGTCCCTGATGAGAATCTTCTGAGCTTAAAAATATTTACCAACGAAAACACTGATTTCTCATCACCTTTTAGCCAAACCTCATCGGGGGGCCCGCAGAGTGGAAAAGAGTCAACACCAGACGGTGAGTACCTGAAAAATCCTATTGTTAAGACAACCTTCGTCATGGAAGATCCAAACACACGTGAGAGCAGGAGACCGTGCAGAGTAGCCTAGGACTGCTGCCTTCCTTTTCGGATCACTTTAGCACAGTGTCTGACATCATCGTTTTAAGAGTTAATAAGAGCAACAATAACCGCTACCACTTGTTTTATTTTTGCAATATTTCAGACGTTATGTTGAGCATTTTATATGAATAAACTCACTCAAACCCTCACAACAATCCTTTGAAGTTGGTACTATAAGCATAACCATTTTGTGGATGAGAAAACTGAGGTACAGAAATGTTTGATTATGCCTGTGATCACAGTGAGTAGTGGTTCAGTCTAATCCAATGCTCCTTCCTTCTCTAAAGTACTTACAAGCTCATTCAAACTTTCATGTTTTATAAAGTTCATGCTGCCTTA